TTTTTGCATTTTTAGTAGACACAGGGTTTCACCATGTTGGTCAGGCTGGTCTCGAAATCCTGACCTCATGATCAGCCCACCTTGGCCTCCCAAAGTGCTGGGATTACAGGCGTGAGCCACTGCGCACATTCATTATCAAGTGTTGCTTTATTGCCTCATTGTGAAAGTGAATGTGCCTACCAAAGATGAATTGGGTGTTAAATGTAAGTTCAGAGATTAAAGGGCAGAGTTCAATTTTCACAGTGACACAGAAGTTGCTTTACTTTCAGGAGCATATGTGACATAAGAGTTATCATCACAAGCAAATCTGGGTCTGAAGAGGGTGACAAAGTAGAATCTAGTTATTGAACAAACAAACAAACAAAAAACAGTTAATGATGCCCATGAAAACCACTGTCTGGGCCGGGCGATGGCTCATGCCTATAATCCCAGCACTTTGGGAGGCCAAGGCGGGCGACTGCCTGAGCTCAGGAGTTCGCAACCAGCCTGGGCAACACGGTGAAGACAAAAAAAAAAAATTAGCAGGGCGTGGCGGCGTGCACGTATAGTCCTAGCTACTCAGGAGGCTGAGGCAGAATTGCTTGAACTAGGGAAACGGAGGTTGCAGTGAGTCAAGATGGCGCCACTGCACTCCAGCCTGGGTGACAAAGTGAGACTCCTTTAAAAAAAAAAAAAAAAAAAAAACTGTTGGATGACCGAGATAAACATATTGACAGTTAAGAAAGCTTCAGATTTTTGTGTTCCTTCTGTACATACTAGGTACTTTCACATACAATATTTAATAAACTGTAAGCATAGATATTCACAGATGGGCATGTTAAGGCTTAGAGATGTTTAATAATTTGCTTAGAGTCACATAGCCAATCAGTGGCATTGCTAGGATTTAAATCTGAGACTTCTAAATTCCAGTACAGAGACTTTTTCATTAAATAACAGTACATCTCCGGACCTCTCTTTAAACCGAAAAAAAGGGAGAAAAGTTGTATCAAATTTATAGAAAAACGTTAAATTGCTTATGGTAGATTTCTAGGGGACCACCCATTCATAGCAACAGGAAACCTGAGGCCTGATGGCCTGTACTCATAATTTGCTATGTGACCTTGGGAAATGGGAACCAAGACACCTAGGTTCTTCTCCCAGCTCTGACCCCAACCTCCTGTGTGACCTTGAGCAAGTTCTTCTTCAGGCACAGGTTAGTTCCACTGAGAAGCCAAGGAATTGCATAGATGATCTGAAAACCCTTTCCAGCTCGGGCATCTCAGCTGTCCAGGAGAGCTAAAAGCGTTCCCGATTGCAGGACTCCCACCAATGAAAGGTAGAAGGAAGGCTCTGCTGGTCTCCCTCTCTGAAGATTCTGACGGTAATTCCAAGGGGTAAGATGCCCTATGTCCTTTAACTGGAAATAGCTACAAGAGCACCAGAGGTCAGACTGGGAAGAGCGCCAAGGGGGAAACAATCCGGTAGAGAAAAGGGTCCCAGGATTCTCTCAGCAGGGAAAACCTCCCAAGCTCAACGCCAGTGCCGTGGTCCCTGCGGTTCCTCCGCCAAGGGCCGCGTAGACCGCGGGGAAGAGGCCTGGGCAGTGCGGGGATCAGCCAGGAGCAAGGCCGCAGCCGGGGAAACGGCCCAGATGGCGGAGCCAGGGCAGCGGCTCCCGTGACCTTCCCGGGCTCGGCGCGAAGCCTGGGCTCTGGCCAGGGCGAATATGAATGACTGCAGCCAGGTCTCGGCAGGAGCAGGGCAGGCGCCCCCTGCCTCGACCCTGGCGTAGTCGCCGCCTCTGCGCTGCCGACCCGGCCCGGAGCGGCCCATATACTGCGAGCCGGCCACGGAGCGCGGGGCACGGAGGTTCAGGACCGGCTCCCAAGCTGTCCCTGCAGACCGCCACCGCCTCCCTGTCTGGCACGCGCGCCCGCCCACAGCAGGCACGCGGTGGCTCTCCTGTCAGCCCTTGCGGCCAGCCTGCCTGCCACACGCCGGCCTGCCAGCGCTCACCTTGGAGATCCACGCGGGCCCAGCCATCGCTTCCCGTCCTTGCTCCGCAGCAACAGCGGGAGCAGCAGTGCGCAGGCGCCCGGCCCGCGATCGGAGCCCGCCCCTGCACGGCCACGCCCCCTGGAAGCACCGCCCCCAATATGGCCTAAAGATTCCTTCGCGCTCACTCGCTGCCCCGCCCCTGGATATTCCACGGGCCAATCGCCGGGCTCGTCTCTGTCTTGCCCGGCTGAGCGCCAGGCGGACCCGGAAACTGCCCGGGATCTCCGGGAAGCTTCCTCCTGCCTTCCTTGTCTCATTAACTAGCTGTTTAGATAAGACATTTGTTCCACACCTACCAGGTGCTGATTAATCTTCTAGGATGTTGGGGATACAGCGCTTCTCATAGAGTTAAAAGCCCGTGGAGGAAGGCACATAATTTTCTCATTCCACAGATTTTGATTTTTTTTGGAGACTGGGTCTCGCTCTTGCCGCCCAGGCTGGAGTGCAGTGTGGAGAACAGGGTTCACTACATAGCCTCGACCTCCTGGGCTCCAGTAATCACGACGCCCAGCTATATTGCTCAGGCTGGTCTCGCACTCCAGAAGTCAAGCGATCTGCCCGCCTCAGGCTCACAGAGTGCTGGGATTACAGGCGTGAGCCACTGCGCCTGGCCGATTTTCATTTTCTGACAGCTTTATTGAAGTATAATTTATATATCATAACATTTACTCACTGTAAGTGTGCAGTTCGACGATTTTTCGTAAATGTAAACAGTTGCACAACCATCCCACAATCCGGTTTTGAGCATATGAAAATGTTCCTCGTGTCCGCTTATATTCAATCCCGCTCATGTCCTCAATCCCAGGCAACTACTAATCTGTCTTTTCAGCTCAACAAATACTTCTGAGGGTCAACTAGATGTCAGGCACTGTTGTAAGTGCTGGGGCTTAGGATCCAGTAGGAAAGGCAGGCATCCATCAAGTGTCACACACATATGTCATTAAAACTGTTGAGTCAAGAAGCAAAAGAGCAAGGTGCTATGGCAAGGCGATATCAGCCGACCTGATTCAAACCTAACCCAGAAGTTAGGGAAAGCTTCTCTGAGGAAATAACGTCCATACCCACCTTTCCCCTCATCCTCTCCCTATCCTTCACAAACTCCTGAGCTCTGCTGATGGCCAGGCCTCTAGCTAGGTGCCAGGGGAGGTCAGGTATTTAGACCAGGTCTCTGTTACCATGCCCTGGGAAGGGTTCTATCCAGAGAGGAGCTGCCCACCCACCCAGAGAGGTGATGAGTGAAGTGATGCCAAGGGCTTTTATGACCTAAATAATAAACTGCAGCTAAGTCTGTGGCCCTGTCAGGAAGGAGGGCTTTTATCAACCCCTTTCCATTGGGCACCTTCCCTTCATCAGGCCCTGGCAGACCCATCCTGAAGTGTTCTCCCACAGTTCCTCCATCTCCAGTGTTACCCTTGCCCTCTTCAGGCCTCGGGCCCAGGCTCTTATACCAGTCTCTTCACCTGCCAACCTGCCCCCACCCCCCAGTCCTCTCCTTCAGGCACAGCTCTGACCGGGGCTCATCCCAGTTCTGAAACCTCTTAGCTCTCTCTTGCATTCTCCTCTCACACCACTGTCTTTTTTCAGTCTGATTTCCCACCACTCCTTCCTGCCCCAAAGACCTGGAGCGCCAGCCAACTAGGACTGCTGGCCAGCCCCCAAATGCTTCCCATATTTTACCTCTCTGCCCATGCTCATGCTGTGCCCTCAGGCTGAGGCAGCAGAATCACTTGAACCTGGGAGGTGGAGGTTGCAGTGATCGAAGATCGCACCACTGCACTCCAGCCTGGGTGACAGAGGGAGACGCTGTCTCAAAATAAATAAATAAATAAATAAATAAACAAACAAAAAATAAAATCTGATAGCAATTTTTAAGTGAATAAATCAGCAAAACAATATAATTATTCACATACCAAACGTTTCTCTTTTGTTACAAAAGAAACACAAATTAATTTCAACAGTTTTCCTACTTTATTTAAAATTTAGTTTTCATTAAAGATATGATTGGCAAAGGGTTCATCCCTATCTCTAAGTTAGGAAAAGCTCCAACAAATTAGTAAAGAAGGTATTAGGACTTTAGTGAATAAATGGGAAAAGGACCTGAATAATCACTTCACAGCCAAAGAAACTTTTAAGTAAATGTTCAACCTTAATGATAGTCAAATGCATGCAAATTTCTAAAAAATTACACACTTTTTTACTCCTTTTATTTAAAAATATTAATAAAATGAAATACATTATACCATTCACTTTACGGCGCACTGCTTGGCTGGCCTCATAAATTTCCACAATCTCTTTGGAAAACAGTTTAGCAATGTGTCTCAAGAGACATTAAGTGTTCTTACTCTTTCACCTAGTGAGTCCATTCCTAAAAATTAAACTCTTCGGGGAAAAAAATCAGAAAGAAAAAGCCATCAACACAAAGATATTCATTATACAATTATCCTTAATTTTGAAAACTAAAAGGAAAAAAAGAACAGTCTAAATGATTAACAGAGGAAATGGTTATGTAATTTGGGGTAAATGAATGGAAACGACCATCATGCAGCCTTCAAAAGTGATCAATGGCCTGCCATGGTGGTTCGCATCTGCAATCCCAGCACTTTGGGAGGCTGAGGCAATCACTTGAGCCCAGCAGTTCAAGACCAGCCTGGGAAACATAGCAAGACATTGTCTCTACAAAATATAAAAATTTAGCCAGTCATGGTGGCATGCACCTGAAGTCCCAGCCACTTGGGAGGCTGAGGTGGGAGGCTCGCCTGACCCCAGGAGTTAGAGGCTACACTGAGCCATGATTGCACCACTGCCCTTCAGCCAAGATGACAGAGGGAGACCCTATCTCTAAAAATAAAATTAAAAAAAATTTTAAAGTGATTGTTATGAAGACTTTAGCATCTTAGTAAATGTTTATGGTTGAATGTTCACAAAAAAATCAAAATTTAAACTATTATCTATGTTCTGCTATAAAACTTCTTTTTACATGTGAACAAAGAGTAGAAGAAAACCTGCTCCCTCCCACAGAATCCCCCTGTCCAAGAAAATTCAACTCCAGCCTCCTAGTTGCTGAGGCCAAAAGCTTGCAGTTTAGCTCTGTTTTCAAAATAGGTTCAGTTTGGACACTCCCCGTTGGCAACTGCTGCCTCCAGGGTCTAAGTCAGAGTCATCTCTTGCCTGAACCAACGCAGTGGCCCCCGGACTGGCTTCCCTGCTTCTACCCCTTAAAAGCCACCTCCTGCTGGAGGGATTGTGTTCAAACATAAGACAGATACATCCTTCTCTGCCTAAAACTGCCAGTGACGTCCTGTCTCTCTACAAGTAAAAGACAATGCTCTGGCAGTGGCCCTTAAGGCCCTAAAGGGTGTAATCCTTCCAGCCCATCTCTGAGCTACTTCCCCACCACTATCTCCCTTGAAACAAACCTACCTTCTTGCTGTTATTTAATCAGGTGGTGCTTCCTCCCACCTCAGGGCCTTTGCGCTTACTGTCCGCAATGCCTGGAATGCTTTTCCATATGCCTTGTTCCATCAGCCACTCCCCATTTCCCCTCTCCCAGTCTCTGGCTACCACAGATCTATTTTATGTTCCAATATAATCACCTACTCTGGGCATTTCATACAGACAGAATCATACAATGTCTGGTCTCTTGTGCCTGGCTTCTTTTGTTTAGCATGAGTTTTCAAGACTTCTCCATATCATAGCATGCATCAATCTGTCATTCCTCATGACAGTCAAGTAATATTCCATCACATGAATAGACTACATTTTATTCATACATTTGTCAGCTGATGGCGGTTTGAGTCATTTTCACCATTATGAATAATGCTGCTGCGAACATGTTTTCTTTCTGATTTCCTTTATTGTTCTTCAAATGTTACTTGTGCATAAAAATTGTGTTCTTAAAAAATCCTTATACCTCAACTTTGTAGCAGCATATGTATTGCCTAAAATGCACACCATCACCACTGCACGCCCCCGTCATGTGTAATCAAAGCCCAGAACTGTACCCTTCCCTGGAGGAGTGAAAAGATGTCTGAGATCACTCTTCAGTTGGGAGATTTTTCCCTTTGTCACACATCCCTGGCGTGTTAATAAACAGGAGACATGGCAGAGCTTAGCAGGAAGGAGCTGAGCCCTGGGGAAACTCGCTCCCAAATGTTCCACTGCATGACTTCAGGTCAAAAAAAAAGCTGCCCTGGAACACAAGTGTTTCCACAGATGGGTTTTACTGTGTGTTCCCTCTAGCTATCATTGCTGAGCCACCTTCTATGTCAGGAGGGGGCTGGAAGTCAGAGGGGCTACAGATGAAGGATTTCTACCCCCTATCTTGGAGGAGCTCCTAGCGTCTGAGGGTCTGGGCAGCTACACAGATCGCCACAGGAGGAGAGAGACACCTCATGGGCAGCTCTCACTTCTCTATTCATCCTGCATGGAGATACTCGGCACTGATTATTGATTAAAAATGACTGCACTTCCCACTCTTCCAAGGCCTTGAGAGAGAAATCAAGGCCCACAGAGCCACTGACCCTGGGGCCCCTCCACCTAGAAATTCCAGGGCTCTTCAGACTTTCACAATGAAAACTGAACTCATGGCCGGGCGCGGTGGCTCAAGCCTGTAATCCCAGCACTTTGGGAGGCCGAGGCGGGTGGATCACGAGGTCAAGAGATCGAGACCATCCCGGTC